GTTGTTATCCATGTCCTACCTTGTGGTCAAAGTCCAACTTATTTGGCACCTACCAAACTGTTTTTGTCGTGTTTATCTGACGTTCTTCTAGATATGACATTTTCTTATTCGATTGTTTTTATGGATATGTTTGTTCCTATCTTACATCCAATACCATTCTCAGATATTGTGATTACCTTTCATTCAAAGCCATTATTGGATGCCTGGTTTTTGTTTTATCCAATGTTATTCTTGGATGTCACCCTTGTTTCTCTCTCTGATGTTTTTCCAGATTGAGTCTTTGTTTTGATGTTTTTCTAGATATTCCCTTTGATTCTACTGTTCTTCCTGAATCTATCTGAGGTTCTTCCGGATTTGTTTCTCTCTCTGATGTTTTTCCAGATTGAGTCTTTATTCTGATGTTCTTCTATAACGTATCTAATATTTTTCCAGATAGTCCTTTGTGATTCTAATGCTTTTCCAGAATCTCATTTCCTTTGTACTTGTTTGATGCTTTTCTAGATATGACTTTTGCTTATGATGTTTTCCAAAACTCCTTTTGTGTCTATCTGATGCTTTTCTGGATATGACTTTTACTTCTGATGTTTTTCCAGAGCCACTTTATGTCTACCTGATGCTTTTTCAGATATGAATTTTGTTCTGATATTCTTCCAAAACTCCTTTTGTGTCTATCTGATGCTTTTCAGGATATGACTTTTGCTTCTGATGTTTTTTCCAGAGCCTCTTTGTGTCTATCTGATGCTTTTCTGGATATGAGTTTTGTTCTGATGTTTATCCAGAAACTTCTTAGTACTTATCTAATGCTTTTCTGGATATGTATTTACTTCTGATGTTTTTCCATAACTCCTTTTGTGTCTATCTGATACTTTTTTGGATATGACTTTTGTTTCTGATGTTTTTCCATAATCTTCTTTGTACATATCTGATGCTTTTTTAGATATGTATTTATGTTCTGATGTTCTTCCAGAATTCCTTTGTTGCTTATCTGACGTTCTTCCAGATTTGTATTCAAATATTTTCCCATACATTTAAGGCTCTTCTAAATGTTTCGGGTGTATTTTCGGAATCTTTGTCTACGTCTAATGCTCTTCTAGATGTCTTCAATTTGTTTATGACTTTGGTTAACAACTTTTGAATGTTTTCATGTCTGTTTCCATTCTCCATCCAATACTTTTCTGGATGTGTCCCAGAGTTTATTCGAAGTTTTCCCGAATATCTCTGATGGTTTCCAGAGTCCATTCAATGCTTTTCTGGATGTCTCTGATGTTGTTGTGTTGCAAAACATTCAATGATTTATTGAATGTCTCTGATGTTTGTTTCAATGTCCTTAGTATATTTCCCAGATTTCTCATCACTTCATTCAATGATGTTCTGAATTTTGTGACTCTTTTCCATCCAGTTCTGTTCACAGATGATGATTGTTGCTTCCCCGATGTTGTTGTGTTTCCCCAGTGATTGGTTACTCATTGTGTTGTCTTTATCCCTATTTGCTTTCGTTCTCGTCTGCATTCTTTTTGTTTAGCATCCCATCATTTTCATCATATTAGAGTTCATGACATGTCAGCATTAAATTAGTTTTCTTTTGTCCATAGCATAACATGTCATTGCATCTAAGGGCAAAATTTTTGGTTATCTGTATTTAAATACCTTTCACCATGATTTCATGACGATTTTCATTATTCATGTCATCCAGTAAAGATATTTTTTATTTTTTTTAAAATTTTATGTTTTTAATTTAGAATTTTTTTTGTTTTATTTATTTTTAGGTTTTTAGTTTAGTTTAAAATTTATTTCTTCTTATTGCTAATATAATTTTATTTAGTTTTTTTATTTTTTATTTTTTATTATTATTATCTATCATTAGTATTATTATTATCATTATTTATTATTATATTTTCTTTATTATTATTCTATTATCATTACAAAATCCAAAAAATAAAACAAGACCATTTACTAGGTCCATACAATTCAAAAATCATGCCAAAAATATGGAACTAAGCTCATTTGATCAAAAAGAGCCCAATGCAGTTTTAATTACAATTAAAAAAAGCCATACAAAAAACAACAACAACAAAATGAAGACAAAGGACTTTTTCTGCCAAAATAACAGCTCATTTTGCAACTACACGCCCTGCCCACAGCAAATCAGAAAACCGCTCCAAATATGCACCAAAATGGAAAATTTATGCTACCCCCCTACCTTGGCATCTCTTGATATAATCCTGAACTATAAAATAAAATCAATGCTACACAACAGTCTTGATAAACACAACTAGCCTGCATCATCAACAACAGCAACAACACATAAGATTCTGCACAAAACCTGAAGCATTAAGCCAAAAGTTTTTTGCATCATGAAATGGACAGATCGACATAACAATTTTTTTGAATTTGTTTTAAAAAAAGAAGAAACAAGAAGAGAGGGGAGGACTCAGCAGCAAAATAATAAAAAGGTTGTTTTAACAACCTTACCTGGGCCACCATTCGAAAACTCACTCCATAGCAAATACTCTACAACCAAAAGCGATTGGCTCTGCTCTTCTTTCGTCTACCCTTTCCTTCTAATCAACCTTCCTCTTCAGTCACCACATACCCAACATCACAAAACCTCAATCACTCAAAAAAAACTTTCAAAACCAACATTCGTCCCCTCAAACCTCTCCAACACTAAACCGACTTCTTTTAACAAACAACAACCACACCCATTGAATCAGACAATCACCAAATCAAACAGAAGGAGATGAAGAGAACTTGAAGTAAAACAAATCATAATCGAAGCCTCACCTTAGATCAACACTAATCCAAACGAACCAAAGAGACTGAGACGAAAGCGCGAGTAGAAGCAACGCGAACCTGAATCGAATCAGAGAAGTTTGGAATGATATTGTTCTAACTTTGGTTTTGCTTTTGTTTTAAGAATTCGATGAAGTAATTTTGGTTCTTTGATGGTCGTGTTTCGTTTTAGGCAAATATAGTGATTGGTCTATTTATGCGTACAGTAATAGGGAGAAAAGGGGACCGTGTGGAAATAAGAGGTCCATCCTTTTTTTTTCCTTTTTTTTATAAAAGTCAGATTTCATGGCTTTTGGGCTTAAAGCCAATGTTGGTTTTCAAATCCAAACACCCTTACTTTCTTCATTGCACCCCCGTTTCCTCTTTATTTTTTATTTTTTATTTTTTATTTTTTATTTTTTATTTTTAAATTTTTGTTCCTTCTCTTTTAATTTATTTACTCGTATTTTTAGTCTTTTTTTATATATAACTTTTTTCTAAGTTTGTTTGATCTAATGGGTCCTTACCTTAACTCCTTTTGGTTTCCTCTTGATTATTTATTTGACTATTTATTTTCATTTGGTTTCCATTTTGATTTTCTTTTTTTATTATTGGTCGATGAAGTCTTTCAAATTGTGAATGTTGGTTATCGAGGTTGTTTAACCTTCATTATTTCAAATATGTAGTAAATGATCATTGAGATCATTTTCTATACTTTGGAATCATGATAGGTTACCTTTGATTAATTGATGAAAGTTTTTGATTAATATGAGATCGTTCCTCTTTTCTTCTTGTGCGACATGATTCTTTGAGAATGATCTACATATCATTTCTCTATCGTGTTTTAGCACAAACCTTGTGATTGAGTGACCTCCTATAGCATGATCTTCCACATAGATTGTGCTACGATGGTTTAGCATCAAAGTGAACCCTATTAATCCAATTAATAATTACTCACTAACAACTAACTTCCTATTAACATATGCAACTTAGGATTGGAGTCGTAATGCTCTATTTAGTCGTCCCGCTGTGGACATTTCCCATCTTTACCTTTTCCATACGACTTGGAATCATCGTGCTCTATTTAGTCATCCCTCCGTGGAAATTACCTTCCTTGCTAAATTAACCTTAGTTTAGAGTCATCACACTCTATGTAGGTGTCTCACTACAAACATTTACTTTTCCCTTTGGAACCTTGACCACAATCAAGAGTTCCTCACCCTTTTTGAGGTGAACTACGGTTTCTCTGATTCCATCTTAGTTAGGATACGTAGGCACGAGATGCGACGTCTTGGAGAGCATACTTAGTGTATATAGCCTAGGCCTTTACCTTAGCACTCTTCTTTGGCAAGCAAACTTTAACATAACACAAATATTAACAAGAGGTTCCTATAGAGTACTACAGGTACTTAGGATGCTAATACCTTCCATAGGTATAACCAACCCCCGAACCTTAGATCTCTTAGCTTCGTTGTTACGCAGTGCACTTAGGGTTTTCTTCAATCTTTACCCTTTCCTTTGAATAAATCAAAGCTTGATGGTGAGCTTCATGATTTGTGATTCAAGTTAATTAATAGTTTGATATCCGATTCTCACCGGAACATGCTGGAATAGAGATTCCCAACCAACACTCAACCTTTTCCAGACCAGTCTGGTTCTAGAACAGGATAAGAAAACATGATCTGATTCTTAAGTAGCATGAAAATAAAAGACATAAACCTTGTCGTGCGAATTTGAAATCAAACCTTAATCCGCAAGGTTAGAACGTGTAGGCAAGCGATTAAGAAGAAGTCTCCAATTAAAAACTTTAACCTTCACTAGAATCCTAGACTTCCACAAAATGTCAAGTGCCATCTTTGTATTTGGTTCCAATACAGTGCAACCTACATCCCAGATGAGATAACCATAGCTAGATTTGACACAAAACATATTGAGAGTACCCTTTGGCCATCCAACAAAGTCCTTATAATCATGGGTAGGCTTCACTTCTGCCAGTAACAAACTTAGGTCCCGAATGTTCTATTCCTCATCACCTCCTAGCTCTAATTTTAACCCATCCAACTCCCACTCCCACTGCCACTGATCACCCTTCCATCTGCCACAATCTTTAACCATGGCCTTCTTGCACTCCGAGGCTTCAAATAAATCTGAGAAAAGGCTCTTCAAAGATAAAGCACCTAACCATGTAGAATTCCAAAAAGAAGTAGTGCCCCATCCTCCCCCAACTTTCATGAAATTTGATTGTAGAATCCTTCATATTGTAAGGAATCTCCAATCCCCATGATATCCTTCCACCATATTGATTCAAGGCTAGCAACTCTTTGGACATCTTTAGAAAGAACTCTTATCCTCAAGTTACCATATTTTGCTTTAAGAATTCCCAACCATATTGCATTTGGCTCGTAAATGAACCTCCACGGCCACTTAGATAACAATGCTCTATTAAAAATAGCCACATCCTTGATTCCCAACCCTTCGACAACCTTGAGCTTGCACACCAATGACCATCTAACCCAAGACATAGATTTTTTATCAGTCGTGCCAGCCCACAAGAATTTCCTCTGAATATACATAATCTCCTTGATTACCTTAACCGACATTTTGTAGAAAGAAAGATGATGAACATGTATATTGGTAAGCACTTAGTTAATTAGTGTTACCCTACCTCCAATTGATAATAGTCTGCCATTCCAAGAGGATAGTCGAGCCTTGATTCAATCAATGATTGATTTCCAGAATGAGACCGTCCTATGGTTGCCTCCAATAGTTAAGCCAAGAAATTTGAAAGGTAACAGACCAGTCTTATAAGCCAAGAACTCAGATGCTACCATTAAGAATGATTCATCCACCCCTACACCATACAAAAAACTTTTCCAAAGATTTATTTTCATCCCAGAAATCCATTCAAATCCTCTAAGAATGGACTTTAAACCCCATACATTTGACCAAGAGTTATCGCAAGAAGTTATCATGTCATCTGCAAATTGTAATAAGTTAATGGAAATATCAACGTTCATAGCAACCCCCTCATCATATTTCTATTGTCAACCCTCCTAAACAAGTAAGCCAAACATTTCGCAACTATAGCAAACAAAAATGGGGACAACGGATCTCCTTGTCTCAGACCCATATTCGCCTTAAAATATTTAGTTGTGATCCCATTAACCAACACATATAAATAGTTATTAAAAATCACTCCTCTCATCCAATGCAACCACTTGCCACGAAAATTCATTGCCACCACCACCTTCTGCAAGAAGCCCCAATCGACGCAGTCGTATGCTTGAGCAAAATCCACTTTAAGAAGTAAACAACTTTTCTTCTTCCTCATGGCAACATCTATGAGTTTGTTTGTTACAATAACACCATCGAGGATTTATCTCCCTTGTATGAATGTAGTTTGAGATGTTGAGACTAACTTACTAACGACCAAGCTCAATCTTGCAGCCAACAATTTTGACACCACCTTGTCTATACATCCAATTAAGCTAATATGCCTGAACTCATCCAAGTTTTGAGGGTTTTCTCTTTTAGGTATTAATGCAATGAAGGAAGAGCACAAAACTTCACGCAAGTTTGTAGACTGATGAAACTCTTGGATACAATAACTACATTGACACCAATCACCCCCAACACTTCTTTAGGAATGCTAGATTAAAGCCATCAGGAACTGGGATTTTATTCCCATTGCAACTGTTGATAGCCTCGAGAATCTCCTCACAAGTGAAAGGCTCTTGCAACCTTGCGTTATCCGCAGAATAAAGTTTAGGAAATTTAGAAAAATACAAACCTAGTCTGCATGCATCAGGGAACTAAAACTTAGCAGTAAAGTAATCCTTGATGGCTTGCTTAACATTGCTAACATCATCCAAAACGACAGAGCTAATATTCTAAGCAGAGATAGTATTCACCCTCAACCTATATTTAACCATTGAATCAAACAACCTAGAGTGTGAATCTACTTCTTTCACCCATTTTCGATCTAGACTTCTGGTTCAAAATGCTTTCCTTGATATGAAGTTTATTCCAAATTTCCATTTGAGCCTCACTCCCCCTCTTCAAATATTCCTCATAGGTAGCCTCGCTACTAACTACCATATCAACCTCAATGATATTAAGAATGTCGTCGCCTTCATCAATCTTCAAGTCGACCCATCCAAAAACCTACTTATTCCACCACCTTAATTTCTCCCTAAGGCCCTTTAATTTTAATACAAGGATATTGATTGCACTGCCGAACACCTGAATAGAGTCCCAAGATTCTTTAACAAAGGTTATAAAATTAAGGTGATCGAACCAAACATGAAAAGTTTTGAACGGTTTTGTCCCCTAGTCCACATTATTTGAGTAGAGCCAAATCGGCCTATGATCTGAAACATTTCTATCTCACACCTTTTTAGACACCGCCTTCCACTTCTTAATCAATTGTTGAAACAGAAGAATTTTGTCAAGTCTATTTTTGCAAGTACCACTAGTATTGTACCATGTAAGCCTATTCCCCATAACAGGCATGTCAACGAGTTCCACTGCATCGATGAAAAAGGAAAAATTTTCCATCTCCACTGAGCTCGACCTACCCTTCCTCTTCCTCCTCATTTCTGACTTGACTGCATTAAAGTCTTCTCCAACCAACCATTCACCCAAAGGTAGATTTCTTTTCATCCTAATCAACTCTAACCAAAGGATCCTTTTTTTTTTCCACAAGTCTATAAGAGAAATAGACATTAACTACATAGGAATTAATATCTTTCCACACCCCTATTGATATCCAAAAATCCACTCCCTTTGAAGCTAAACAATGGGCAAAATGCACTATTCTTCCAAATTGACAAAATGCCCCCAAATTGACCAACCAACCTGTAGCAGACCAGTCGAAATCATCATTTCCCCATAAAAACCTCATCAGCTTGTCATATAGTAACCTGGGTCTTCGTTACCTGCAGTAGACAAAAATCTGCTTTTCCACAAGAGGCTATTTGGCACACTCTTATTCTCTTTATAGAAGAGTCACACCCACGTACATTGAAAGTTAAGTGATTCATGAAACCCTGATTTTGGCCACCCTCTTATCCTCAAAAATTTTCCTTTATTTTGTCTCCAATTCTCTTATGTTACTTTCAAAGACTCCATCATCCTAATCCTCTTCAATCCCCAGTTCTTTAATAGATTGCCAAACTTTCGCCGGAACATCATCCAAAGATTTTCTAACCCGTGCATTTCTTGATTGACATCAATATCACTAATAGAATCTCAACAGAGAATTGATCTGCTTGAGTACCTAGATGATTCTTCCTCCACCGTAGGAGAGCTATGATTAATGCCAGCAAGAGCCTCTTTGTCAATACAAATTGGGATCTGTTTGTTAGAAGAGTGTAACAAAGTTTAAAAATATGAAGGTGAAAATGGGATCTTGATATTATCATATATTTCATTAAAAAATATATTTTTGGATTTGGGCCCAAAACAAAGCCCACCAGGCCCTATTGGAGAGCATGAAATTGGATCAGCAATTTCCAACCCCAGGCTCACATTACCAAGAATATTGTTGTTCTGAAGAGCGAAAATATTCTTGTCAAATCCCAACACTCTAGGAACTTTCGCTTCAGAAAAATGTCTCATCTTAGTACCACCCCTATCAGCAACATTAATTTTTTCGTGTACCCCATAATGTTATCATTAAAACTATCAACTACACGTATTCCAAAATTCTCCTTTTCCCTATCAGACTCAGATATATAAACGTCTTCCACCTTGGCTTCGACGTGTGTCCCAACGTAAATTTGTGAATTGACTTTTTCCTCCATATTCTTCTTTCCCATATCCTGGGGATACCCACTTTCTTGAAGTCCACCCAGACTCCCTTGGATTTTGTGTACTCTAAATTCGCCATCCTCCACCTCATTGGAACTATCGAAATCACCATCATCCTCATATGTTTCTTCAACCTCCGATTCACTACCCGACCTAGCCGCCTTAGATACAACTATTCTGTTTGGACCATGAAAATCTTCCATCAACTTGATTTTGTATATCTTGCCATTTATTTCTACATTGAAAACTTCATTAAGGTTCATGGAGTATTTTGTCTTGATTAAGAACCTAGCAACACTAAGTGCTTATGCGTTTTCCTTTCCTCATTGCAAAAAATGAACTCTCCCACGCAACCAAAATTAAACTTGAAAAACCCAGGGATCCAAGCATGGCAAGGCAAACCAAAGCATTTTAGCCATGTTAGTATCTCATTGTCAATGTCCTCAGGTGACCATGGATGTATATTCCATAACCATTGTGTGATCCAAGAAACCTCCTCTTGAATCAATGACCTTAATAGACCTTCTTCACTTTCTTCCAGCAAACATAGATTGGCACCAAGGGGAGTAGTTTTGATTTGAAAGAAACCTTCTGCGTTAAGATCATCCTGGACGTTGTAGGTTGACCCTATTTTCTTCACCTCACCTATAAAGGCATTCTCAAATCCCGTAACCTCATTCTTTCCGACATTGAATAGAAGATTAGCCAAACTAGGTTTTTCCTCCATTTTTTCTCCCACCTCCTTATGTGCCTTACTCCTTCACCCGCTTCCTCGCCAGGCTGTTTGTTCCTTACCACTTAGGCATAAGATTTACCATGTAGACTAACATTCCTGTTGAGAACAATTGGCCTTACTTCTCCTCCTTGAAACTTTCTTTCTAAATTTCTGTTGAGTGTACCCTTCGCCTCCCCCCTCGTTTAAACCAAGGAACATTGACAAAAATCTTTCTACCTTCTACTTGAATGCTGTCAAGCTTTGCTGCCATAAGCCTTTCATCCTTAACTTTTCTATAATGAATGAAACTGTAACGTTTCCCCCTCATGTCCCTCTTTGCTGGGATGAAAACCTCCATCTTAATGTCATGCTCTTTGAATATTTCTGTCATATCTTTTGCTCCATAAGACTCCAGGAACTATGAAGAAGAAAAATGATGTTTCCTTAGACTCCCCCAAGTCTTTCTCCCTCCTCTCAGTCCAAACTGAGTTTCTGTTGATATTGTTGATGTTGCCGCGGTGTTTCTTGCGTCGCACTTATTTCCGATCCATGTTTTCTCTCAACAAAATTAACTAACTAAAATATTAAAGCAGGCCGCACCTCTTCCTCTGTTGATTTTCTTGTCCCATACCCACTTTTGTTTTATAATTAATTTGGAGTTTGATTTCTTACTACACTTTTGTTCCGCTTTATTTTTCGTTTTGTATTTAGGTTAAACCACCCCATTCCTTCCTTTTAATACCATCCATTTTACCTTAAAAAAAAAATCAAATAAGTCATAATTTTGTTTGTAAGCTATTTTCAAAGTAAGTAAAATCAATACACGTGTAGTCCTTGTTTAATAAATTATCGTGCATTTTATCAAACTCATATGTCCTTTTTTTCATAACAAACTTTGAAAAACTTTACATGTTAACTTATGTTGTGTTTGACATGACTTCCTCAATAATTTTTATAACTTTTTTTTGTTTTTTGTTTTTGGTTCGTATAATCAAATGAGAAAATGCAAAAACTAGAGTTGATTTGACTTATGAAATTATATTACTAAAAAGTTAAAAAATAATATATATTTTT